CATCTGTCGTGAACGATTCCGGTTTGCGCCTCAGGGGTGACGCCGCAGGGTGCTCGTCGTGGAGAGGTCGCCGTCGATGAGAGCTCCCCCCCCCCCCCGGCGTTTCGTCAGGGAGAAATAAAATGTGTATGTATTTTCTACATATTAGTAGACTCTAAAATCGATTCTTCTTGAACGCCCCTTCAAAGCTGCATAAAGAACAGTGCGTACATTTTATGTCAACGTCTCTTGTACGGTACTTTACCCCTTGTGCGAACTCTCTGAAAAGATCCTCCCATACAGTACTTCGATAGGACGTCTCGGTTTGGGTTGTTTCATGGAGGTATTATACCTATAATACCTCCATGGTTGTATAAGTCTCTTGTGGGTACACAACGCTGTAAGAACGTGCAAACTTTGTGAAATTATGTTCAGTACGTATTTACAGTATGGTTATACAAAATAAAGTTTTCAACACAAAACTGTAACGTTATTGTCACGTTATCATAACGTATTATTGTTTGCTGGGAAGGTTACTACTCGCGTAGTAGCTCACCTCCACTTAAGTTGAAACAGGAAGCTTTTCAAAGTCTTGGATGTCTTTGAATAAAGTTAAAAACAATTGACGCCTAGAGTTGTCTTTACCCAGTAGGCCTACCGTTCGTCTATAATTATTCGTGTGTTAAACTTTTAACCTATTTTACCTATTTTTATTTAAGTTTTTTGATCGAACTTAACAACTGAGCAAAACAGAATCAGAAACGTGCGTGTGTGTGTGTGTGTGTGTGTGTTTTCCTTCAGGGTATTAGAAGCCCGACCAGCGCCCTCTTTAAATAAATGAGGCTTAGGGAGTGGAGTTGTGATAGAGTTGTGAGGAAAAGTCCTGCCGTCACAGGTTGAACCCAGGACCATGGAAAGGCAAGCATCTTACCACTAACCAATTCAAGTCCATCCCACACGGCGGCTCACAGTGGGCCAGGGCGAAATCAAAGTGTGTCAAAAGTCCATTTTGGTGACTATGGATTTTACACTTTTTTTTCACATGATTGAAGATGGGTATACCCTGGTGAATCTATCTTGAAAATATTTTACATTTAAATTTAAATTTTAAGGGTGGTATTTTTCAAAAAATGTTGGAAATTTCTCTATAAATATTTCAAATGCTATAATTGACTACATTATATCAAACACGTTTTTTTTTTCTTACATAAAATTCGGAATTACTTCAAAAATTACACGCTTCTTGTATATAAATTGGGGAACACAAATATATGTTTTGGTTCAGATTTAAAGTTTGCATCAATAATAAATCGCTGTTTAAACGACAGAAAAAATATTTAAAAATCTATTTTTAGAACAGTAGGAGAGAAAGTTTAGATTTCTGTGGATTCATGCTTTAATTTGTACATCACCATCTTCATTATAGCCTTAGCTTTATGATGGTACCAAATTTAGCAGCTACTTTTTGCAACTTCGCGAGCTAGACGTACTTTTATCAGTCTTGTTTTCGTACATTTGAGACACAGTTTAATTAGAGCAAACCGCAAATAAGAGGGATGTACGCGCGTCTACTCAACCAGTTCATGCGAAGCGTGGGAAAAGCACTCCAGAAATTGACAAACTGCTCGTGATTTAACAGTAGCAAATCTTCTAATATTTTGTTACTGTTTAGAATACTTTACAGTATTAAATTTTGAGCAGTCTAAAATAATCCAAATATCATATATCATAATTAAGATGTGATATCTACAAGCAGGCCTACCGGTATAGTGTTTGATGTCGAATAGGCCTATATGAAACATGTAGGCTGCCGGCACCTTGACGATAGTGCCAACAAACTTTCACAAAAACGTGATGTAATAATGACAAAATAATTCAGTATTATTGTTTATTTTCGGAAAATATTTCAGCCGCTCCAAATTTCTTTCCTAATCCCATGCTTTGTTCTTCCTATGTTTCTTCCTTATTTTCGTTAAACTTAATTATATTTTATAAATACAATTACGCATAATGTTCATATTGTGTTGTCTTTACCCAGTACCGCTCGTCTACTTTATTCGTGTGGAAAAATTTTAACCAATAGCCTATTTACATGTCTTTGGTTTGATTGGTACTCCTGAAAGGTCCATTTTGTTCACCTCATCTCACCAGCTTCTTGATGAGTTCCTCAACAGGGGTGGCGCCAGGATTTGCCCGACGGGGCCGAGGTCCCCGACGCAGGGGCCGATGCCCCAACGAGTGTTCAGATTTCCACGACGAAACCAATGTGGGTGTGGTCGAGCTTCGATTTAAAGATTACAAAATAAAGGGGTCCTGGGGGCAAGGCCCCCGAAAAATTTGACAATTTAGGGGTTTCAGAGGCTTATTTAATCGATTTTAGAGTCCAATAATATGTAGAAAATACATATAATTTTTTTTTCTCCCCGACGAATTGTGCTTTTTCACCCCAACCGGGGGGCAGCTCTCCCCAACGGGCGGGCCAGCTCTCCCCGACGGGGGAGGTAGCCCTGCCTCCTCCCCGCTGGCGCCACCCCTGTTCCTCAAGTCTGTGATATTCCCTATCTATTCAGTTAGTTCGTGCTCCAGCTCTTAGTGTGTTTCTTACATTTCAAGTCGATTGTTAAAGGCTAAGTGTTGAGTCCCAACAATAAATCCGATTTTCCACTAGTGGAATTTATTCGCGTGAATCGAAGGCGTCGGTTCTGTTCCCGAGTTGGTTGCGCAAATTTCGCTTCGCAAACCAGCGTGACCACTCACAATTTTTGATATACCCAATGACTGGGTCGTAATTACCCAAGATTCAGCAAAAATTTCCCAAAATTACCCAAGCTTCCTGAAAATTCATTAAAATTTGAAAAAAAACCCCGTGTTTTTCGCATGTATAGTTTTCCTTTTAGTTCAATTTATAAACCATTTTTTATTGTAATTGTTTGTGTTAATTATTAAAATTAATATTCATGAGGTGATACTACAGATAGAAAAATACGCCCTCAGTCGGCCAGTGTTATCAGTAGATCAGTGAAGTTTTATTAAATAATGCATTAATTAGGTAAGATCAATGGCAACGCAAATCACAATAAACAATTCTGAACCCATGTATAGCAATTAACAGTCAATTAACAATGTTATGTGCACTTCGTTGAGTTTTGCTTACTTGAATGGACTGACATTCAACATCATTTATTTAAGTCAGTTTTCTTCCCTCTTCCAAGGGGTTACTGACTGTCACTCGTTCCATGCAGCTACACCATCTCTCCACTTCTTCCGGTCTTGTGCATCATACTCCTCCAAACCAATTTTTGCACTTTCTTTCTTCACCATATATTTCCACGTCAACTTTGGCCGCCCCCTTACTCTTCTACCTTCAACTTCTAGATGCCAGGCTCTCTTTACTGGATCACCTTCGTCTTTTCTTAGCACATGACCCATCTCAAGCAACTCCTCATAACAACCTCCACAATTGTTTCACTTAGACCTAGACGTTCCATAAGCTCCTTTGTGTTCCTTCTTTCTGCCAGCTTAACGCCACACATTTTTCTTATCATTGCTCTTTCTGTTCTTCTCAAAATTCCCTCTTCAGTTGTCTTTATGTTCCATGTTTCGGCACCATACAACATTGCTGATCTTACACAGGCTTTATAAATCCTACCCTTTATCCACACAGTACCATGGCCAGCTCATTGAACGTGGACCATCCAACCCTACTTCTCCATGCCACCGCAATTTCACAACCGCCTCCACTATTAAGTGTATCACCAAGATAACAAAAACGGTCCACTCTCCCAATCTCCTGCATTTGTTGTTCCACCACCTGGTCTTCAGCCTCATTACTCTTGTCTCTCTTACACTTCTTGCATTTAAAGCCCTCCGCCAATTTGCATTATACTTAGTTACTTTTTAATTCTTCCTCTATGACAAAAATATATAATTTTCTTAGTAAAAATAAAATACCTAAGGATTTGAATGGAATACCCGAAGCGAAAAAATACACCAATCAGAGCTCCTGAAGCGAACCGACACTTTGATTCGTGCGAACAAATTCACCTAATGGAAAACCAGCTTAAGACTGCGATATTATTTCTCCACTTAGTTCTTTCTCTAGCTATTATTGGTTTTCTTTCTTTCACCTCGATTGTTATTTGAATTTTACAACACGTTTTAAAATGTCACAATCTTGACGTCATCTTAAATTGTGAGCCTGCAATTACTTCACTCTATTAAAAACATAAACATCCTGAATTCCTCACCCCCTACTGGCTGTGATTCAGCACAAATAAAATCCACATACTATATATGCTGGTGCAGAATAGATATTTGACTGGTACTTTTCGTTAAGAAGGATTTTTGGTTGAGAATTATTTTCTTTCAACTGGTTCATGAAGAGGACGTCATTGAGAATGGAAATTAACATTAATTATCGTTTAGTTTGCAATAGTATGTCCCAATGACCAAAACAACAAACTTTTTTTTGTTTGCAATTTTTTTTTTTTACCATTGTATGAAAATAAATTTGTTGAACTGAATTGACTGGTCAGTTTATTTATTAGAGAAAACACTTGCATTAATATGAATTAAATTAGATTTCCAAAAATAATAATTAATATATTGAATTTATATGAACAAATATAATTTTATATTTGTTTACATAAATTTAACATCAATTTTAGGCCAAGAAAATGTAAAACCAAATTGAATTATTTGTCAACGATAAAAAACAATAGCCACAAACTGAATCTACCTAGGCGATGCTAGTGTGTAAATTGTGTTAACTATGCAGCCATTTGTTTGTTGAGTATTTTCAACCAGCGTTCTGTTCGTCTGGTCATATTCGTTAAGTACTATTTCATCACTGCGCTGGTTACAGAAGGATGAACAGTTTTACATGGTAAGAAAAAATATCCATGCTATATCAGCAGATATGGTCAAGCAAAATTTGACATTTTGTGATTGGAATTGAACAGTTATGCAAAATAAAATACTGCACTGTAAATTTAAAATAAAATACAGTAGTAGACTTCTTTTTGATTGGTTTGTGTAATAATTTATTTCTATGAAAACCCTTATATAAAAAAGACAAATAAGCTCATAATGTAATCATCAAAATGCTACATCAAAATTAATAAATGGAACAATTTTCAAAATTCTATTCAAATCAATGTAAAAACTACAATGTAACGAATCTATCACATATTACCAGTTATTATCTATGTCTAATAGTTCTATTATTAGTAATGATTATTCGAATATGCATTTTCCGTCCTATTTGTATAATCACACTTTATTTAATATAATTATTATTTATCATAATTGCAAACTAAAATTTATTCTTGTTCTTGCAACATGTTATATCATAATGAAGAACTATTGATGCAATCTAATATATCATAATTATGTTTATGTTTAATACTGTTGAAAATCACTGAATAAAATACAGTACTTCACAATCATTTAAAATTAAACAGTGATGTAATTTTTAAATTCTAAAAAATACTTTTTCATTTTTCATATTTTTAAATACTGATAGTAACTTCAAAGTACTTGAACTGTAGTCTTGGTATCTTTATAAACTTCTTTAAAACTATGTTTGTAATTACAGTATCTTTCTTTATATTAATTTTCACACTTGTACCTTGATGTATGGACATACTAAAGAATATTGAGTTGTATTAAAAAATTTACTGCAATGATGTTGAAGTAAACTCAATTACAAATTACATCATTACTGAATGTTAAACCTTGACAATAGCTTTTCCAAAGTTGGCACCAGTGAACAGCTCATAAAAAGCTTTGAACATATTGTCAAATCCTTCAGTCACATGCTCTTTGTACGTCATCTTACCCTAAGGGGGAAAAAAACAAAAAAAAAAACAAAAAACATTTGAATTCTGTTTACAGAATTAGAAAAATTATAAATTTAATTAGGTTAAACATTTTAATTATATTTACATAATCTAATAAAATATTAAAATATCACAATTATAACAATTAAATTATTGTTTATATTATAATACACATTCTGTCATATAAAAATATTTACAATCAAAATAAATAGAAAAACATTTTAATTTTATTGAATTATTTCATATTAAATAGGGAATATAAATTCTGAAACTGAGCATAGCTTAATTTTCTGAAAAAAGGGCTGGCACTCTAGTTGTTTTTTGAAGGCATCAAAAGATGTAAATGTGTAAGGAAAGTATTAGGGCACATAGAAAAAATTATTAGATTATCACTCTTTTTAAAAAAAGTGTGATGAGGACAGGTATTTTTTTTTAATCGGAACAATAGAATATTTCTTTTTTATCAATAAGGAAGGACTGTTTTATTTGGCAAGAATATTGTAAATATTGTATAAAAACTGGTTAAATTTTATTGTTTAAAAAAAAATGTAGTGCTAGTCACAAAACTGCATGTCTTTTTATGCTGTGAAATAAATGATTATGAAAAAATGAAACACACACACACGACATGATAAATGAAAAAAAAATAACACATTTTTTTTAATCCTGCACCAATATTTCCGAAATTTTTGATGCGGGCAGGAGTGATAATCTAGCAATTTTTTTATATTTGCCCTAATCTTGTCAATTGAAAAGCTTTTGTGAAATGCTTGCTATTTTAATTAATTTTGGATAATATAAACTGGTTATAAATCTCATTTAATTCAGTACAATAGGACATCTGTTAAGAGGAAACCTTCAAGACCAAGAAAAGTGTTCCTTTAATAGGGGTGTCCCCTAAATAACGGTTGGCTGTAGTGTTAAAAGATATACTTTTACTTTTCCATGTTTCGTGGCCCAAAAAATATCCCCTTAATTAGGGGTGGCTCTTAATAGGGGTGTCCAAAAGGAAGGGGTTCTATTGTATTTAACATCTCTATATAGACAAATGCAATTGGGAGTTTTTGAAAGACCACCCTTGCTTGGGACCTTCTCAGGGTCACCAACCCCCTGTGCATGTCATGTCTATGTAAAGGTAGAATAACCCAGGAGAATAACCCATAACTCGCAGTATCATTGTGCTAAATTGCGTATAGGTGAGGTCCGTGACAACCTAGCCGCTGTAAGGAGGTACTTGCAACAGCTACATATTCACATCATTCCACAACGACATATCTGGGGACCTCTGGTGGGGATATTCTAAGTAATATTGTGGCAGATTACAACGACAGCAAAACACTGTACGTATGCACAACTCCAATATTTACATTCGTGGGGATGATGAGAATCCAACCGGCAGGGGCGGCACCAGAAATTCCCCTACGAGGGGTCGAAGCAGCCAGATGAGAAGTTCACCCCCTCCTGTGGGGGAAACCCAGCAACATCCCCTCGCCCTCGATATTGGGGAAAAAATTGTGATGCTATGGTATTCTTTATTTAAAAAGGATAGTTTAATAGAAAACCATGCCAGGTAAAAGGCCCATATCGGGGGTACTAACAACCTGTCGGAGGTAGCAGCTACCACGTCGAGGAAGATCTAGCGCTACCACCGAGACTCATACGATTGCGATAGATATACAACACCTACCATATATGGTAGCAATAAACAGTTTTTAATCCCTAATTTGACATTTAATCCCTAATTTGACAGCTTAGGTAGGCACTTTCGGCGATTGAGATCTCACTTTTCCATGACAACCCTGCTTGAAATTCCCCGACAGGGGATCCAAATGGGGGTGGGGTTTCCAGAGGTCCCCGACGGGGGTCCTATACCCCCTGGACGCCCCGCTAGCACTGCCCCTGCAGCTATAGCATTTGCAGAGTAGAGAACAATTCCTGCAAATGGATCGGTATATAAAGAATAAATGGCTACATACCTCAGTGATGTATTTTATGAATTTTTCAATACCTTCTGGCCATCTAGCAGTATATGTCCACCCCATGAATCCCTCAATTTTCAGATGTTTAGTAAGAATTGGCAACTGTATAACTAAGGTAGTAATAAAACAATATTTCAATATGTTAACATTACAGTTTGGTTCTTACCTTAATCAGGAATTAAAGGTAATTGTAAGAGAAATTTTCACAATTTCATGTTATATGTGAAATCTCAACATGAAATTTTGAATTTAATGTTTTTGAATAACTTGATACTTATATTTTCTTAATTGTATACTTTTGAAGAGAATTTTCTTACTAACATAGTATTCCCTGCACATATTCTGTAATTTTAGTCCTATTATTTGTACAGGTTAGTTTATCTTTGAGTTGATTTTCTCAAAACACGGTTCTCATATGTTAAATGCTCACTTCTCTAGATCTACTTATCCTAGGGAACAGTGGTGGCGCCGGCGAGGTGCAGGGGGAATTTGCCCTTCCATTGGACAGTCCTTGATTCCCTTGTTGTCCGACGCATGACTAGGTCGTCGGATCAAAAATAAAACAAAATAATAATCTGCCTATCCAAATAACGTTATTTTGACTGCCTATCCATAATATAGTGGTTTAAAAAAGCACCTTTGGACCATACTAAATCATAAAAAATCTCCTAGCAGTGAACCCTAAAATAGAGTTTTCATTCAGGGCCTTTGACCAAGGCTTCGTCAGCCCCTTGGCATGGATTGGCATGGACCACTGTTGGCAAATTTCTGGTGCTACTGCTGCTAGGGAAGGCATTCAAAGACCAAGACCAAATTAAAGCTTATAATGTGGCCTACAAAAATATAATAAAAACTCATTTTTTGATTTTTCAACCATGAGACTCATTTTGTGGTGAAACCTCACATACTAATACTGTACTTCAAATTGTATATGATAATGTTGTTTTACAGTATTTAATATATAGAATGTTAATATTTTAAGTTCCTTTTTGGAAACCTTAATAGTGATTTAGTGCACCTTTCAGAGTCCTTTCTTTGTGGTGGTGGTTGCTCTAATTTTGCCATGTTTTGTGCATACAGAACAAAATTTAAAACTACCCCTGCAGGGACTGTGAATCCTATGGTTTTAAAATAAACGCTGAAACTAAAAAATAAACTACTTGTAAACTACTTGTCATTTGGGGTAATTTTTACTGGGCCGTTTTTACCGGGGCCATTTTAACCGGGGCCATTTTTTCCTGGGCCATTTTTACCTACATTCCTTTCACCATTATGTCCAGAAACAAAGCCCTAGAAAAGTTTGACAATTTAGGGGTTTCGAAGGCTTACACATTTTTTTTATAAGAACACATTTTATAAGAACAATGAGACTGAAATTGCTTAAAAATTAAGAACAAAATAAGAACAAATTGAGGCTCAGGTAAAATGTCAAATGAAATTTTTATTTAAAAATAACCAAAAACTTATAGGCCTATTTGTACCTTAAGTTCAGTAAGTGTGACTATATAATTCTCTCTATAATACAGTACAGTAGGTGTACCTCCTGTCAGTTGGAGCCATTTTTAGTAGAGCCTTTTTTCTTGGGCTATTTTTTCCAGGCTTTTTTTCAGGGGCAATTTTTTCCAGAGCGACTTATACATACATACCGGTACGGTATACTGTATACTGTAATACAGTACTTTGAAGTTTAAAAAGTGTGTAAAATAAGAACAAAATAAGAACATTTTGAGCCTGAAATCGGCCAAAAAATAAGAACACCGAGCCTGGGCAAAATTTGACTGGTTCTTATAAAAAAAAAAGTGTATTTAATCAATTTTAGAGTCTATTAATAGGTACAAAATACATATAATTTTTTTTCCCTGACAAATTGTGGTTTTTCTTCCCGTCGAGGAGGGGAGAGCTCTCCCCAATGGGGTCCTGCCCCCCCCCCCACTCTGCTGGCGCCATCCCCTGGATATAATTTATTAACTTACTCTGTATTGGTGTCTTTGTATTGTAACCTGAGATGATTCCGCACACTGCTATTCTGCCAAAATCATTCATAATGTTCATCACAGTACTTGTTAATTCACCTCCAACCTAAAACAACAATAATTACTAGATTGAAATTCTCATGACAAATTTTAGGTGATACACAAGATCCGATAGTTTTCCTTAGCGAGAAAATTTGTTAATGCCCTAAATGGCCTGAAATGTGCTTTAAATTGTTCAAAAAGTGATCTTGGAAATTTAAAATAAACGCACACGTTATTATGTGCGCACTGGCGGATGGCACATGAAGTTGACCATTGATATGAGGTATACTTGTGTCAGTGCTCTAAACCAATTCCCCTTTCCATTGACACCAAATATAACTATGTTTTATGTGGTGTGTCAGCTATATTTAATTTCAAAATGACGGCACACAATTCAATTCAGCACACCGAAAATGACAAAGTTGCCAAATAAAATCCATTTTGGCACAAAAATCTAGCTAGATTACATAGCAAACTGTACTAAAATGAGGTCATATATCATGGAAAAACAATAAAATCGTTTTTACTACCATGCTCCACACAGGCTGTCCCACGAATTGTCTTTCTCTATTGATCACATCTCGACAACTAACCCATCATCTCTCAAACATCGTTATTTAACAAGTCCTAAGTCATTCACCCCTTTTCATGGTTTTACTTCCTTTCTCAGAAACTACACCCTTCTACATACCTACTGTCTTACACATCCCCATCTCTTCAATCACAATTACTAACCAAGATGATTAAAGCACCACAAAACTCACACTTTCACTTCTTGGACATTGAACTTTAAGATGTGTAAATAATTATAATGATGAAACTGACGCTGGTAACAATACTACCAAACTGTATGTGAAATATAATGCAATCAGGGGCGGATGTTTGGGAGGTAAAAAAAAGGGGAAAAAAGAGAGAAAAAGAAAAAAATGATAGCCCAGAATGCCTCAAATGTTATGTTCGGGCGTCTAGAATACAAATCGGCCCAACTTTCGGCTCCCTGTTCCGGCCCCCCTTTTGGACATTTCTGGATCCGCCCCTGGCAATGCTCACATGTCCACGATGATGTCACTACTACAGCTACAGTACATACCTGTATGGGCATACTACATAATCACATATCAATAACATCTCAAATCATTTAACTCTATGGCGTTCAACTCATTTAAATCGTCTGTCACTATACTGTATATATGTTATATTATAATTAAACTGTAATTTAAATATTTTTTGCATGGTATGTATACTGTAGTTTTATAATAATTGTCATATAATTTTTTTATTTGTGTATTCCTAGCTCTTGAAATAAAATGTCATGTACTATACTTAAATGGGATCTTGAATCCACTGTTTTTTTGTCACATCAAATGTTGTACTGTTATTTATAGTGACACTATCAAATGTTTATGTAACAAATGATATGCCAGTACTTTGCATACTTGACATCAGCAATCCCATATGGTCAAATTTGATGGTGTTGACAGAGTTTAATGAAATTATTATTAATCAAATTATTCAATGGGTCCGATTACTTACTATTAATATTAAATCTACACAGAACACTTGTGAATATTACTGAGACTGTGGCAGATTCAAGGAGGAGCTGAGCTGGCCCAGGTGCCCCCCACCCCAATTTTTGTAATAATTGTAACAAAAATGGAGGAAAAGGAATTTGATCCGAGAGTGCCATTTCCGGCCATCTATAGGTGCCAAAAGGTGGGGTTGAGGTGGTCGACACTCTTAATCTGTAAAACTACCTCCCTGGGTCCATCTATTTCAAAATTCTGGGTCTGCCACTGTCAAATACTTAGTGTTTTGTAAAAATTACTATATGTGCCAGTTTCACGATTTGAATTTTTTTAGAATATCAAAAAATTAGTATAATTCTTTGTACTTTTAATTGCTTTATTAGTATCATTCTATAGTCTAGAAATTATATTAAGGTAGTGAATCATATTCTATGTTATTGTGATTATAAATACCAAATCAAAGGAATTTTAACATACTTGGCCACATTTTCTCCAATCATGGTGTCTCCTTCTTTCATACTTGAATTGAACGCCCTATGTAAAACAAATTGTAAAATATGTTGTAAATATTATTGCAGCTCTTAAAAGTACAAGTAGAGCATTCAAAGAAAAAGCAAACAATGATGAAAAGTATGAAAGTGTATGCAGATTTGTTATGTACATTGTGGAATGGCCCATCATCTTCAAATCCTGAAAATACCAACTATTTGGCTTATGAGTAGTTAAACAGAAAACCAAGGTTTTTACTACTGCACATGGTCAAATTAGGTCCGCAGAGCCATTAAATCTGGCAGGTGTGAAAAAATGAAATTAAAAATAATAATAAAATTAAATTAATTTATATAAATAGCTTTTCCCATTAAAGGTAAAGACAAAAACGCAACCCCTGAGTGTCTATACTAACAATATTCAAGTAACGATCAGGCGTGTGAACATGCCTCCTGTTGTATGGAAGATTAAAATGTGCACTTTAGGTCTACGCAAGCTTGTATAAAAACAGTCTTTGATTACACAGGCAACCCACTGAGATATAAAAAAAAAATGTTAAATACTACTATCAACAAATACCAAGGAAGGTCATGCTATCTGCAAAAAAACCTGGGAGGACTTGTTTAATAGACTTTTCCGGAGTGTCAATCAAACTTAACAACTGACTAATCAGAACAACCCTAGGAATACGCGCGTCTTACAAAAACACGTGTTGTCCCACAAACGCATGTGTTCGCGTATGTTTTAACACTGCCGTCTTGTGGGACCTTAGCAACAAAATCCAAGGGGCGGAGCTTAGTGGAAAGGTCCATTGAGCAGACTCAAAATCAATGTGGTATAAAGCTTTACAGAAAATAGCCTATGGCTACTTGCCACCTGCTTATTTTCTCCACAGACTTTCCTTTTTTTCCAACTAGAGATTTTTTCCTTCTGGCCATTTCCCTCAACCATGTTTCCCAAGTGTTTTTTTCAATTTATTTTTTCTCCTAGTTTTCCCATTGAATGTTTTTTAATGATTTTTGATTAAGCGCCCCTTCTAATTTGAATAAACGTGCCCTCAATAATATAATGTGATTTTCTATTTAGAAAATCAATAATCTAATCAATCCTGGGACTGTGGTTGTTGGCATGATCTGAGCTGCAGAGTGCAATCACATTCTTCTTATTAGGTCAATATCAAAATGAGGATATTTCTCTAGGACAGATTTATAGTGAATGACCAATTCTGTATCCAATAACCAGTGGAAAAATTGCCATGACCAGTTTTCTAGATATGCTCGATAAAAATCCTATTATATCATATAAAAAAATAAATAATAAATTATCACCTCATTTACATCAATTTCCCTAAGATTATTATCCTCTCTCCCCCTCCCACACATTTGAGGGTAACACCTTTACCTTAGTAAGGCCTACATTGCCACAGAGAAAACAATGTAAGAGTTTTCGAGAATATATTAAACTATTTAAATGTTAGGATTTTCAAAAAAATCCATAAATTTGTTTACATTGAGGAGAAGACTGCGGGAGGAGCAAGACCTAAAAAAATGTGTTCACTCCTTCAGACCAATAGAAATGCATTGAGCAGTGTCACAAAATAAGTGCATATTTCACTATTATTACATTAAAGTATTGCAACAAACTAAAAACTGAAACTAATGATTATACAAATTACAGCATGAGTCAGCAAAAAAGTTATATGAATGTTAGTTAACTTGTATGAGTCAACATGAAATTTATATAAATACAGTTAGCATATTCAAACAACTTTATTGCTGACTCATGCAAGATAACATAGTGTTATACCACTAAGTTATCTTGCATGAGTCTCACTAAGTTATCTTGCATGAGTCAGGAAAAAAAAAAAAAAAAATTGTACAAATATTGACTTTTTCAAATCCAGCAATTAATGTCCTCGCTAATTATCATAAACAACTTTTCTTGCATGAGTCAGCAAAAATGTTTACGAAATATTTATGAATCAAAGGCTATTGAATATGGTCGAAGTTTGTATAGCCACAAGCACTTGATAGATAGAAACAGACAGAGACTGAAGTGCAACAAATAACTGTAAAACACAGTTCTGAAGGGAAAAGTCAAATTTAGTACACAATAGTCCCATAAAATCAAGCTGTTTAATGTTTCAGGGTTTATAGAGCAACTCATCAAATTCATATTTTATCGGGACGTTAGGTTTCTTACATGAAAAATCATTTTTGTGTATTTATGTTTCCATATCTAATACAGTACACTCTCTCCCATTTACAAAGTCATGACAAATTTTCAAAAAAATAATCCCTGTTTTATTAAGTTTTATCTTGGTCAATATACTCAGTTTATACTAATTCAATGTTACAATTAAGTTTTAAAGTATTGGATTGGATATTGGGTGTTGGGTGCCAATTGTGCTTACACTTTTGTGTGTTACCACCATTGTGGCCAGCATTGACCTAAGTTAAGTTCTATATGTATATTTTTAATATTTTTTATGATGTTCTTTGTGTATTTTTTTTTTCTTTTGTGATTTGTGAAATTTGAGGGAATACAACAATTTAAATAATTTACTAAACTGATTCCTACAGTACAGTTATCTTGAATTTGCTTACAAAAAGGCCAACTCAGACAGCGTCGGCCGACGCAGCCAGACCTGATTTTTCGTCGGGACAGTCTTTTGTTTAATATTGTACGACGCGACTGCCACCGACGCACACAATCGCGTCTGCGTTTAAGTCACACAGACTCGACGCGACAACAAATCGTGTCAGGCTTTGTCGTACGACGTTGTCTGAGTTGGCCTTTAGGAACTAATCAAAGATATTGTGTGCATATTTTCAAGGGCATTTGTCAATTTTAAGATAGCATATATGACAATTTCTTTATCTTTAGCGGTTGAATTCTCAAATACCTTGAACAAGTTAGTTTTTCCTGTTCAGCTCACTTTACTGTAAATTATCACACCTGGCACCTGGCAATATTTTATTATTTTTAACAAATTTATGTATAATTCTAATTAATCATTTAATTATCTGGAGATTCTATAAATTTAAAACCTAGAAAATACTTATTTTTGGCTTTCAGTCAGGTTTAGATCTACCCATACAACTTATTTTTCATGAAACCTGTAATTTGCAATTAGCTGGAGAAGGCCTTAAACTATAAACAGAAGCTGCAATTAAAGTAGACCTAAGTGCATTCGAGCCATACACGCCTATTAAATTCCGTGTATATGACAGGTAAACGCATGGCTTTACACCACGGAGGGTCCCCGCATTCGAGCACAACTTATCTTGTCTAATTGTGTAAAAATTTACCTCAGAAATACTTGTTTGAGGTCAGCGAGGCAATAGTATATCCCATCATGCCACGCAATATTTACATTTCTAACCACGCTTCACGCACTTGTACTGTACTCCCCTGCGCAAATACTTCAGTTTATTGGTGACCTGTGTCACAGTCAGCTTTCCCCTAAATTTTTCTTTGATCTTTGCAGTTATTTCTTTGTAAGTACCGCTGTTTCGGCGGGTGCCGTCCAGTTGTCTTTGTATTATGTCTTCCCCCCACAATGAGAGAAGGTAACGTATCATAGGTTCGGTCCACACAGACATGTTGAAATGATGAAGATGATGCTATAACATTAACAACAGGTCAAAGAATGCATTTGTTTTTGTAAAACTGGACAGGCCTATGGTTTTCGCGCGTGTTGAATTGAATTCATGTTGACCGCCAGA